TATTGGAGAAGCAGCAAGCATTTTCCTTCAGAGCTGGCATTCTGGCATAGCTCACCAGCATTTCAAAAGCCAGAACAGACCAAGCTTAACCCAAGTGTAAAGCTGCTTTGGAGATCTCCAGAGAAACTGCTGTCACGTACCCCCATCTCCCTGTGAGCACATTTAACCTATCAGCTGCCTTGGCACCCACACTAAAAGGCTCCTGAAAGGCTGTGAAAAAGCAAAGCCCAAACTGAGATGACAGATGGAAAAGGGGATGAAACACCCAGGAGCCAAGAGGCGGTAAATGACTGCATGGCACTTGGGCAGCTCACAGATTCAGCCAGGGCAAAGGCAGGTGTTGGTGCCATCCTTACCAGCTCACTTTATCAGTCTCAGCTCTGATCTTAGAGTCAAACTGCACACAAATCCCCAAGCAAAATTCACCAAACCAATCAACTCCACCACCACCCCCACTCTCAATGCAGCTTTTTCCACGTTCGCACCCTCCACATACAGCACATCCATCACCAGGAACAAGCAGAGACTGAGCCAGAATTTGGACTCTTCCTCTCCAAGGATGGCAGCAATCAAAGCACAGCTTCAAATTTGCATTTTGCAACCCTGACTTTTGCAAAACAGTAAATCTGACCAGCAAACTTGAAAAGCCTCCAGCTGGTTTCATTGCCTAGAGCTACTCTGCTAGAATATCTGTCCTGGCAACATCACCATCATCTGCCCTTCACCTCTCTGGAACTTCAGATACCAAACTTTGCAGGGCCAAAGCTGGGAGCAGGCAATGGTGTTACTCGATAGCCCTTCTTGATGCTAAATTTAGGTGATGGAACTCTTCATGCTTTCAAAAAGGAGTCACTTTATTTGTTTTTGAGAAACTTCTTCTACTTATTGGCTACCGTAAACACTCTTTTTCATGTGTTTTGAACTTATGTACAGGGCTCTCAACATCACAAGAAAACAGCACCCGAAATGATCTCAAAAGATTGATGATGACCTGTTAATTTTGTAAACTGAACCAAGTAACACAATGCACCCAACATGCAAGTGATTGCGGATGGAAACAAATTACACATCAGTAAGTACTGAATTTCATCTTTCTTCAGTTAATATTGATTTACTATTTCTGTGGTAGGCTGTTGCTCCATCACTCAGCTGTTTGCTTTGGGAGATGCGCTTGCTCCATTTGTTTTAGATACCTAAGGCGCAGTCCCTGCGGTATTCAGGAGATCCTCCTTGGACCCTCTAGATCTGGGCTAGATGTTGCTGAAAAAAAGCGATCAGGCTGGACAATTCAAGATGTAGCCAGGGATTCATCCTTAGGCTACTTACACCTAAATGGGCAACGCAGACAGCAAGGACCAAGCCTGAGCAGGATTGGAGCCACGACCAGTGCTTGGAGCTGCTGTTTTGGGCTGTTCTTAGAGGAGATGAGCAAGGCAGGAGAGCAGCCGAGGTGCTCACAGCAGTCACCCACGGCTTCTCTGCAACCTCAGAGAAGGACTACCTAGCAAGCCTTTAATTCAGTAATTACGCTTGCAATTTACTGCTTTCATGCTTTAAAATTCTTGCTCGTATAAATCCCAGTGATATTTTCCCCTCACTTCACTTGAATCTCCCCCCTGTTCTTTCCATCGCGCTCAAAAGCCCCAAGCCCATGACACTTTTTTCTATTTATTTGAAGGATGAAGAGTGCATGTCTTCAGCATTGCTAAACCACTATTACTTAGAATTATGATTAAGAGATTAAGCACCTTGCTGAAATTTATAGTCTAAATCTAATTGTTCCACTGTAGCCAAAATCCTCAGGGGACCCAATGCAGTATCACAGGGAAATCGCCTGCGGTCTGTGTCATTATTATCAGAATCCTTGTAACAGGCCCATCATTTCTGAAGCAAATCCTGGCTCCAATTGCACTTCTTGTCACTGTCAGATCTATTCTTTACTGCTTTAATATATCTCTCTCATTATATGTCTATATAGATATATCTCGCACAGCATTAGGGAAAGTGTGTCGAGCTGGCAAGAGTTACCAATAGACCAACCCCAGAGCCTTGTTCAGCAGCATATCAGCTGCCACCTCATTATTTATAGCCGCCCCATTCCTTGAGCTTATTTTTCTTCCCTAAGGTGGTGGTGGTGGTGGGAGGGGAAGCTCTGACATTCAGGCCCAGATGTCTCCAAGTCTGACCTTTCCTTCCACGAGCAGAAGCTACAGACATATTTCAAGGAATAAAGTCATTTGGAACTCTAGGACCCCATGTGCACCACCTCACTGGAGGCCCAGTGCAGAGCTGCAAGCAAAGGTTGAGCAGAGATCTGTTAATTAGCCAGCACATAAACATAGGATGGTCATTAAAATGAGCCTATAATTATTTTAGACCTGGAAAAATAACCAGATGCAGACTAGCCCTCAGTATTGAGGCAGAACAAGTGCTACATAGGTAGCAATGGCCATCAACCATATTTTTCAATCTCGTCTCCTTATGCTCATGTAGAATCATCCATTAAAGTTTGTTGGGAAAAAAGCAGCCCCAAAGCTTGCTATGGAAAGACAAGCAGCACATTTCACTACTACTGTAGCCCCCACAAATTTGAGTGATGCTGTACAAAAGGATAATCCCCTTCTGCATAATCAGAGGATGGGTAAAGAACAAATTGGAAAGAAGCAACACCTTGAGGTGTGCCTCTAGGTCAGAGCATGGAGAACCAACATAGGGGTTCTGAGCCCTCTCTTTGGGCACCGTCAACCTACCAAGGGGATGGTAATTAGCATAATTAATTATGCTATTAATTAATTAATAGCATAGCAGTGCAAGAAACAAGCAGCCAACAGATACAGGGACCAGGAAAGCATCTCTCTTCACTAGGCTTTGAGGATAAGCTTAACCCTGCAAGAAAGACTCACTCAATGCCTGTGTTTGTCCTTGTTCCACTCAAAATGCAACAGTCCCAGGAAAAACAGAGAGCTAAGGTCTGGTAAGAAAAGCCTCACACATACAAATGATGCAAAAAATACGGTATTATGAAAAATGAATGTAGGAAAGATAGGCAGCAGTCAGCTACTGAGTAAGACCAGCCAGTAACTGCTATAGAGAGGCACAGCCTGCTCTCCTTTACTCACACGAGCAAGACAAGTCCCCAGGAGCACTTTTCCCATCCCAAGGAGAGCGGAGGTCCCAGCAACATGAACACACAGGAGAGCTGCTAGCAGGCTTGCTTTGCAAAGGCTGCAGCATAACTTCACCACCACAGAGGTTATGCTATGGTTTCTCCACAACAAATTCACCTGCAGGAGCTTTTCTTTTTAGTGAGATGAGCAGAAGCACTTCAAAAATGCCACATTTTCTTCTGAAACCAGCCACAATGCCCTGTACTTACTGCTGAGGGGAGAAGTGAGCCTTCAACCCCTCTTGGCATTGCCCAAGATACATACCCAGAGCACCTGGGCTGCAGCATCCCTTTTCTGGTAACCCCATCACCACTACTCCCCCCAACACGTATACCATGTTACTCCAGGAGAGGAACAGCACATCATAACATTCATTTAATTGCAGAAAATATTCCCCTGGTAGATCTAGGTACCTCATAAAGAGCTACGCACATCTGTTCCAAGCCAGGTCTTTCCACGGTCTCTCGCAACCACTGCAGCACTCTGGTCTCCCCAGAGAGTTTCCACATAACCTGCTCATTTCTGTGCTGCAGCAGGAACCTGAATTACAGCAATTTTTTCTGTTGAAACCACATCTAGGTCCACACGGGTTTTCAGCAGGGAAAATATACCTTGCAAAATTAACCCGCCATAAAGAAGGAATCTCACATAAGCAGCCTTCAGGGCCTTTTCTGCACGCTCCGAGCTGGCAGGGCACAGGAATAGTTTCTAGCCATCCTCTCCATCAGTCAGCTGCAGAACAGAGTTGAAACAAATTGGTGCAACCAGTTTACATGCAGGTAAGGGCACATTACCACTGCTTTCACCTCGAACCAGGACATCTCTATACACTCCCCATTGCTACTGGTCTGGTCTCACTTGAAAATCCCAGCACAGCAGAGGAAGGGCTGAAGGGAGGAAGATGGGACCAGATGGTATCCATGCTCTGAGAAAAACAGTCTCCTTGAATTCCCACCTCCAGGAGGAGCTGAAGTAGAGGATAAAGGTACCAATAAACAGAAAGATGACAGCAAGAAGTACTATCTGAGAACTCTCTTGTTCCTAACACTTTAGGAAAGCATAGGTAAGGGCAGCACAAGCTATTTTCTGCCTCTACACTGTAGCAGTGTAATTACTTGGAAGGTCACCTCCATAAAAAGGTTTTGCATTAGATGGTTTTGGATAGGTTAGTCAGCTCATTAGAGTGCTGGGTTCCGGTACAGACAGTTATATTGACCTCATCTCAGCTGTATAAGCAGGACATAAAGAACATTTTTTTTTTATAGCAGACATCACCCATCATTTTTCGTTGAAGGAGCTAGTTTTTCTGCTTCTTCTAACTGACCACTCCACAGGAAGTCTTCTGCATGCTGTGCCATCTCTCACCCAAACACTGCTCATCTCCATTTTACAGTCAATTACCCTCAATAACAATGAAGAATGCAGCAAGATTACAAGGATCACCTAAAAATGGGGTAGGTACACAGAAAGCCCCTTTCCTGCATACATCAAACTCCTTTTTGTCTTGTCACTCTGCCTGGTGTTTCTTCAGCTCCACTTTCCACTCAGAGTTGCAGGGTCTTGGAAAACAGCTTTGCTGTAAGAACTCCTACATCAACAAAAACCTCAGAGTTGCCATCATTACAACATCTTCCTCAAATTTTATTAAATGCTTACAAAAAAAAAAAATCCAGGACACGCAGTAAATTTAAGCAGAAAGCAAACAGATGCAGAGGGAGAGAGAAGCCGCCCTCCTTCCAGAAGGGCAGAAACAACTTGCAAAATTATGTTGACGTAGGGGAATAAGGCAGGAATAAGACTTTAAAGGGGGGATAGGGGAAACATGCTAACACCATGAAGTACGAAGTCGTGGGGGAGCTCAGAAACATCCCTGTGAGCTGATTTACAAACCTTAGGCCCAAGGCCATACTGCCACTCTTTAGGGAATCAATTTACCCATGTTCACAGAGAGCCCTGACCTCCCAGAAGGAAGGGGGGGTGTCATCCCCATGACTAGGATGCCTTTTCACCGAGGCAGCTTCCAGCATAAGAGAAGCAGCTGTTTCCCAGATATCTTGTCCACCTCCAGGAGCATTGCAGGCATGTTATCAACATGCCCACCACCACTGACATTCAGAAGGAGAGTTTCAATCACTGGCACTGGAACCTAGAGGTTAAAGAACAAGCAAATCCTCTTCCCAAGGGAAGGAGACCATGCCAGTGATCAGCATTCCTCACCTAGGAATGGAGACCTCCAAACCACGTTGGACAGGGAGAGGAAGCTGCAGCTATTTGAAACAAAGCTGCTGTTGCCACTGCTGAGACACGAGGGGCAGGAACATGTTGGCTGGGGTACACAACTGTGATTAAATGATGATCTGGGAACCAAAGAAAAACACAGGACTAATTTGAATGGAATTGATGAACACAGAGACCAGTAGATGGAAGTCCCTCAAAACAGATGTTGTAGAGGGACAGAGGCTGTTTTGTAAACAGGGGAAGACCTCACCCACAGCTGGCACCAACAGGGTGAGAAGCAGTCCTTGCAGTCCCCTCACAATCAGGATCTGCCCACTGCCCTCCTTTCAGACACTGGTTATTTTACTGGGTTTTGTTGAGCTCCCTGTCTCCCACCACCCAGCAACCAAGAGCTATGAGAGTAGAAATTCTTCATCATGTAGCAAAAGCTCCGCCAGCTCGGCAGGGCAGCAGGTCCCTCTCTTCCAACACTTGAGCAAGAAGAGAGGGAGAAGAGCCAGATTAAAAAAAAAAAAGCCAAAGAGTCACAGAGAAAGTTAAAACAGGGATGGGTTTTGCCAGCTGCTCTAGTTCCTTTCATCCAACCAGAGGCAGCGTGGGGTATTGCTCACACCCCGAGAGGAGTCAGGCCGTACACCAGAGCAGACTGACATCAGGCAGGAGAAGAGAAACATCCTTCCATTATCTTCTGTGGAGCAGAGGAAATAGTGGCATTGAGGGTTGCATGGAGCCAGGACCAAGCTCAGCTGCAAGACAAGAAAACAAGTTTATACATATTGTTTGGCCTGCCATGAGCCATACCCCGAGCTATGTAGGGGATGCAGCTTGTCTAGCAAGTACAGGTGGTTTTCTCCCAACCATTTCCACAGATCCCTGTGAATCTTATCCCAACCATTTCCACAGATCCCTGTGAATCAGCCCATACGGTTTTGGTGCTGCAGGACAGCCAACTGTGCCGCATGCCCGTGGAGATCAGATGCCAAGGGCTGCCCGCCTGGCAGAGGCCAACTGCTCAGGCAGCGGGATGGATGTGCTTCTGCCCATCCATCTCCTCCCAAGGAGGGGTGAGGGGGGGAGGGTGTGTGGGATTAGCAGGTTTGCTTCGAGCCCCAAGAAAGCCACTAAAGCAAAGGGTATGTTCCTACAGCCCCCGGCAGCCACAGCTCTTCGCTTGGGCCATCTGCAGCAGTATCGGGTTCCTGCAGCTCTCGATCTGCTCCGTGAGTGACAGCTGGTGCAGCCAAGGGACTCCAGCGCATAAATGACTTTTCCATCGTGTGATAAATGACTCCTCCATGCCAACACTCTCCCTATCATTCCCAGTTTGGGATTGATTGCAGATGGCATGGAGTCCAGGAGAAAAGTTGGGGTCCAAGAGCAGGCAACCTCCCCTCCACCCACAGGCACTCAACCAGCAGCAGGGAAACTTAACCCTTTGAAAGCCTCTTGACTCAGATTCTAGCTCAATTACCTCCCCAATTATCATAAACCCACCCAAATTTCTCAGGCAGTATATTCCCTGTTGTCCCTGGGTTTTCAGCTGGGGTCTTTTCACTGGCAATAAAGCAAGTCCATCTGTCCCTTTGCTTTTGCTGCATTACACTGCAAGGGGGAAGATGCTCATAAATCTTCCTTATTGCAGAATTTCTCCTGAGCACACAAAGCTCTGAAGGAGACTCATCAGACAAAGCCAAGCATGACAGGGAAGGCAAATAAATTAAGAGCTAATTTCCTTTTGCTGTCTCTTAGCATCTCTCTGCCTTGCTAGTCAAATACAGACTCCAGCACAGTCACATGCCATGGAAGTTACCACCCACAAGGTCCCCAAGACCCACAGCAAGTTTCAAGTCAGATGGGATGCTGAGATAGTAGCAAGAGTGATATTAAGAGCACAGACTATTGTAGGTGACCACAAATCTGGAGGTTATAGGGCACAAAGCCTCTAACTTTGGGAACAGAGAGAGAGTTTTCCTGGTGCACACAGATTATCTACATTTCCCACTCCAAGAAGCCCCATGCCCTTCTCAGTAGCATCTGTCAGTTTGCAGCAAATCCCAGGCAAGATCCTGCTCTGACCCATGTGGGAAGCTGCATTTTTCTGGGGTGCAGCAGTCTGTAGGACAAAGAAAACATTCAAAGAGCTGATTAGTAGTTGGGAAGTTCACTGCCCTGCCTCTTTAGTATTCCCAACACAACAAGCCTGAAGCAGGTCAACCTTGTAATTCTGGCTTCCCAGTGCTGCTAGACCACAGCTCATCTTGTAGTACAGGCTGACCAGGGGACCACATTAAACTGGAGCAGATTAAATCATTCCACAATCAGCCCTAACATCAGATACGTGTACTAGCTCACCTTGCAGCAGATCAAAATCACCCAAGCAATTACCAATTCCTGTACAAACAGAACAGGCATAGTGTGGCACAAGAGCAAATATACACCTCTCCAACTGAGGTGTTTTGGCTTTCTGACCCAGAATAATCTAGAATATCCAGAAGGCTGAGGCAGAGAGCAGGTATATGATGCAGTAGGCTCTCAGCCTTTTTTTGGGCTGCTGCAGATTTGTTTCTAAGAGTAGCTATTGAAACAGAGCAAGTCCTAATCCCAGCCTTGTGTCTAAGGCATGAAGCTGATAAGCCGCTGGGAATGGCCAACAGTTGTCACCCCCAGCTGACACAAATCCCCTCCGAGCTCCTCACCAAAACAGTGGGAGGTTTCTCATGCCTGCAGCCAAAATAAACGCATCAGTTGGTAGCAGTACAGCACTTGCCAGACACTGCCCATCACAGCCTCTGCTCTGGAGGACAGCTCATCCACTGTGGTGAAGGCTGGACCCCGAAGGTTTTGCACCCCATATGCCAGGTCTTCAGTGCATTAATTTGCTCCTGAGATTTTTTTGGTTGGTTTTGGGGGTTTTTTTGGGTTTGTTTTTTGTGGGGTTTTTTGTTTGTTTGTGAGGTTTTTTGGTGGTGTTTGTTTTGGATTTGGGGGGGAGGTTGGGGTTTTTTTGGTTTTGTTTGGGGTTTTTTTTGAAAAAAAACAAAAAAACACCAAAACCAACACAAAACACCCAAAGAAAACCCCAAACCAAAAAACCCTCAAAAAAATCCCAAACTCAAACCAACCACCCCCACAAAAAAAAAAAAAGAGAAAGTGGGACTCTTCTTTTTCAGCTTTCCAGCCCAATGCTGACAGCAGCACTGCAAGCCCAAAGGCAACACTGGACACTTAAAACCAAATAGCTGTTCTGTGCTTTTGGGAGTTTTATTCAGGATCACTTTCCCACACAGTAGGTATCGTGCTACACACTAACCGGAGCGGGTTGGGAGCCACCAGGAACCAAGCAGAGCACATGCAATAGCCCCTCTGGGCAACCCTGACGTCACCCCACCTCTTTCTCCACCTTTCAGGATGCTGAGTTGCATCTAGCACCAGGGATTAAGAGGCTCAACGATTCATGTCTCATTTCATAGCAAAACTCAGCAACTCTGTGCTGAGTAAGAGCCAGGACAGAGAGAGATTTCTTTCTAGGGCCAGCCACAGAGTCACTGCAGATCAAAGGCTGTGTGTTCAGTATTCCCCAGCCTTGCTCAGGAAGAAAAAGAGGAAAACCAAGGATAGTTTTATCTTCTTATCCCCAGCGCAGGCCCTTAGCTCCACTGTGCAGGAAATCTGACCAGTGCTTACCAGAAAGAAGGGGAGATGGTGGTAAGCTAGCAACAGTGAGCTGGAACAGCAGCCATGCATCCCCACAGGAACAGCTCAGTGTTGGCCAAAGAGGTCCAGCTGCAATTGCCATTGGGGATAAGACCAAACTCAGACCACAATCCATTTCTGTTTCACTAAAGAACGGGTGATACAGGGAGGACAGTGGCAATGTTTCCCAAGAGAAAGAGAAAACTAGGTTTTATCTTAAAATCAGCACAGAAAGGGAAGGTCACCATTGTGTTTGACACAGTGTTGTGACAAAGCACTTCACCAGATAAACACAGCTTTACTTTAGGTCCTGTGTTTCACAGGGATGTCTTTCTGCTGGCTGAAATCAATCAAGGCCAGTATGGACTTTGACTCAAATGACACAGGTAGTTTATGGCTGTTATGTTGTACATAACATTGTAACAGAGTATTAATAACTGGAATTTGAAAAGTCATAAAACATTCCCAATTTGTGCCTCTGGAGAATGTTTCAAAGCTTCAAGATTTCAGACCTGCTCTGTTTCTCTTGACACTTCGTTTCAAATCTGGGTAGGACTCACCAAGACACCAATGTCAGGGGTCCCAAGGAGCTCTGACTGGATTTTGTGCAAACACCAGGAGCAGGAGCACTCCAGGTTCCCCCCAGTATGTCTCTTGCCCTGTCATCCCACCCTCAAGACTGGCTGAGGCTACCTTGGGAGATTAAGGAAACCAAGGCTGATGCTCTTTTCCCACAGTACTGACTCCATACTCACAGCATGTGGAGAAAGGAAGAGGAGTTCTTATCAGAGCCTAGTGCAGGGCTAAGCCCACACCAACTTTAAGCTTTGTGTTTTCTTCCAGGAGATGACAATGCTGATAACTGTATCATCCTCCATCCAGCCTGCTCCCATCCGCCATCACCTTGCTCCCCCTCCCACCCTACCAAAGCCCAGGAAGGACAACCTGCGGCTCCAGCAGCTGCTGAAGAAGGCAGCCAAGAAGAATGCTGTCCTAGCTTCAGAGCAAGCCAAGTCCTTTCGGTCCAGCCTCTCACCTGTGAACGAGGCCAGCTCTGACCTAGAACACAATGAGAGCGCTCCCCCAGCAGAGACCCCTGAAACCACAGCACTCCCCTCCGCCAGCCTCCCTACCCACCTCTCTGTCAAGCCCATCACCCACCGCGTCCCCTCCCCTTTCCGCAAGAGCAAGCCTTTCACGCTGAAGGTGACTGAGCAGAGGCGCATTGCTGAACACCTCATGCTCACAACCTCCCCAGCCATGCCCCTGCTACACAAGCCAGGAGCTCCCGAGACTCCGCAGCAGCTTGAAGGCATGGACACCCTTTCATCTACACACAACCCTTCGATATCTGTTCTTCCCCAGCCTCCTCCTTCCAGTACACCCAGGAAAGAAACGGCACCGGAGGTTACCTATGTCACCAAGGTGCACACTTATTTCCACAGCGTCAAGCCACCCAGGGCTAAGAAGTCCACATCAAATCAGACCCAAGGAACTGTCAGCCATGAAGACAAAAGGCCGTCCTCTCCAGCACCTGAAACAAGCCAATCTGAACCATCTCCAGGGCAGATACCCACCCCGCTCAATGACAGCAAGGCAGCGGCTCCCACACTGGAGCCTCCTCTCCTTTCTGCTGCAGAGGCAGAGTCTCCTAATCAAGCTCCCAGGCCTTCTCCTACTCAAGAGTCCATCAGGGCCCCTTCACCAAAGCCCAGCACCTCCAATGCCCACACCGATAAGCCTATAACCCATGGAAATGACACCAAAATACCTGGATCAGAGAGAGTTCCAGAATCACCCAAGCAAGATGGCAAGATCCTAAAACCATCAACACCCAGCACTCCCTGGAGGCAAGAACCCCCAGAGACAGCAACCCCAGCACAAGACAACAGAACTGGGGCCACCTCCACAGACACCAAGGCAGAACATGTCATTCAGCCTCAGATGACCCCCAGCTTACCAAACATCAGCCCTCCTCTCAAAGCTGAGCCAGCACTATCATCAGCAGAAGCAGCAAGACCACCTGGAGGCAATGTCAGTGGCTGGCACCGCCTCAAGAAGCACTTGATGGTGCAGCCAGAAGAACCCAACTTCCCAGAGCCTGAGCCAGAAAAGCTGGGACAGGAGGAAGGAAGCAAAGAGAAGGAGAGCTCTCAAGCAATCGTCAGTCGAGACCACAGGCTATTTAAATCAAGGGCCATGAGGATGTGGGATGCTATTTTATACCAGATGACCGTCAACAAGGAGAGGAAGCAGCAAGCAGAAGAGAAGAAGCTGCAAAAGGAAGAAAAATTCTCTCTTCCCCGCCGCTTGCCTATCCTTCTACATAAGCCACGCTTCGACGCACGGAAACTGAAGGAACTGGCTGCTAAACCCATGACAAAGATCACCACCGTGTTCGAAGTGAGCCGGTTTAGACCCAAAGCATCTGAGGAGCACATAAAGAGCTTTAACAGAACAGCATCAGGATGGTCAGTCAACTGAAGCCAAGCTGCTCCACCAGGCCCACATCTCTGCAGAGGTTCCTGCAGGCAGCCAAGCAATACAGCACCTATGACTATGTCTACTACCCAACAGAGCCAAGTGTAAGGAAAAAGAAAATTAAATAAAACCCCTCCGAGCCAGCAGCCTCATGCGGTGGGTTTAAAAGTTACTCTCCATATGTATATAAGCATAAATGCACAACATGCCACATCCACAGGACATAAGCCAGGAAAACAAACATGCACTTGTTTTAAAGCCAACAACGAGCACTGTTCGCAGTAATATGTGGAAGAGAGGGGAGGCACACAATGAAGAGGACAAATTGCCTGCAGAAAAAGCTCGGTTTAGAGGAGGAGGATAGAAACACAACAAAATAAATTCAGATTAAGACCAAGATAAATCCTAGAAGCAGAAACAGTTGTAGGTAAGACAACATGAAGGAATCTGGGTTACTCCATATCTCCTCCAGGGAGTCTTAGAAACTGAACTCAGAGGATACACACCATCTCTTTAGTTTCTACACTGAAAGTGCTGTGGAGGGCACCCCACACCCATTTGCTGAGAACACAGTAGAAACTCATCCTTTCACCCAAAGGATAGCATGAGGTATCCATCCTGCTCTCACATAGCAGTTCCCATACCTAAAAAAAAAAATACGGATCATTTGATGCCCTCCTAGGTCAGTCTACTAATGCATAGCGCACAGAAGACTACCTGTTGCACTGATCAAGTTCTGTTATATATTTTACCGTGCTTTAAGGGCAGCGGGGAGTTGGTGTTTTCACCATAACCAAGAGCCTGCTTTGGCACGTGGGTATGCTACGCTGTATTCAACAAGGTGCTGTTTTCCGGGGGTTTCTGCTAACCACACGTAGTCTCATTTTCAGGGGGAACGTCATGATAGTTGCATACCTACTGGTGCCTGATGTCCTGAAAAAAGGGTATTAAAAAAAAAATCCCCAACTCTGTCCATCCACAGAGACAACTGTGCTTTCCAGCATTAGTCACCCTTTGCATCTCCATCGCCACCAGGCTTATGAGAGCACGAGAGCTGGAGATCAGCTATTTCTGTTTCACAAGGGACTCTGTCATATGTTGGGATGTTCCTACACAGCTAATATAGGATTGCTATGTTTAGTCCAGATAGGAAACTTGATACACAGCTCCTTACATTCTCTCTGGGTGCAGAGGATGTGGAGCTGACTAAAATTTCCCCAAGCCAAACTGCAAACAGTCTTAAAAACAAAAGTCATCCTTTTGCTTTTTTGAAGTCTCCCAATTTTGCAATACTGCTATAAGAAGAGCTCAGTTACCATCAAAGTTTAGTGAAAGTTTTCACTTTGCTACTCTTATCCTCTGTTTTGTAACCCCTTCCCTATTCCAAAGGGGAGAGGAAAAAAAAAAAAAAGGAAGAATAACCCAAATATTTAAAGTTTGGATCACTCTGACCCCGTGGTTTTGCAAGAAAAAGCTGAAAAGAGGTAGGTTGGAAGTGTATCAGTAATCACAAGTGTATCCCAGGTAAGCCTTTACAGGATAACTTAACATGCTACAAGAGAAGGCTGCAGAGAAAGATCAACACAGCAACAAAATCAGAGTGCAGCATAAAAGGTGTAGAATGCCTAACGCAGATAAAGGTGTGATAAAATGGCACCTTACTGTAGCACAGCTCGGTGGATGCCTCTGCACAAGGGTCTGCATTCAGAAGATCCATGGCATTAGCATGAAAACAGCCAATACTGATTACACTTGGGAGACCAAGTCAATCTGACTAGAGAAGATGATTTCAGAAGCAACTGTGCTTTAATCCACTCAGTCCTGCAGCAAGGATGAATCCTGAACAAACCAGTGACTCTCACATAAGGCTTATGTTTTCATCTGCTGGACTTCCCACTGGGCTGCATCCACAATCCATCTCCACTGCACAGGGGTGGAGAATCACCAGTGGGAGAGCAATTCCCACAGTGGGAAGCAGAGGGAGGCAGGTTTGGCTGTATGGTTTAGCCCTTCTGCCCCAAGAGGGAAAGGCAGAAGCGTACAGCAGGCATGGCGAGTCCTGGAGAGTCAGACCCTGTCACGAGAGCATTGCAGAGGAGAGAACAGATGCCTGGAGGCAACAGCTATCTGCCAGCAGCTCTGAGCTGGGAGCCACTGCAGCATGTCCCATGCTGAGCAAGGAAATGGGAATGTCGCTGGGCACAGAGTTTGGTTGTTTTTCAATGTCAAACAGCCTCAGGCAGTTGGTATGAGCCCAAATTGCCACGTAAAGACCACCTCTTGCTCTGCAGACTGCTCAGAGGACCTGCAGCTCAGGAAGGGAGGTGAGAAAGAAAAAAACTGAACCTGTGCTCAAGCAACTAGAAAGCTGAGGAGGTGGTGTTGAGCGAGTGACATGGGGGTGAGCCAGAAGGGTTTAGGAGTGGGAAAAAAAAAAAGGTAAGGTGACCCAGCAATAAGGAGAAGGGATGAACATAGTTCAAGAGAGTGGAGAAGAGCTGGGGGAGCAGTGACCTCACAGCACTCAAAACAGCTGAAAACTTAAGAGAAACAAGCCAAGATCCTTCAGCCAGGGCAGTCATTTTGCTATTCAGTGTCAAAAATAAACTTCCCTTGTAAATGAGACCATAGGGCAACAGTGTTGTGCTGTAGCTGTTTGGAGTACTGGGTAGATCCTAGAGGACATGCCATGACAGTCACAGACCTTTTGAGGCAGAGTGCAGGAAAGACCAGAGTCATGGGCACTTTCCTTTGAGCTGCTTGCAGAAGCTCAGCTAGTGCAAGCAAAGCCTGCTGACAGCCTAGGATGCCACCGGGTGTATCAAAACAGACTTAAGGAAAAAGAAGAGGACTGATGAAAGATGAGCCTTCACCTAAGTTTCTGAAAGCCACCAGCAGAGAAGCAAGTTGAGGATACAAGTCATACAGTCTCCCTCCTTCTGGATATCTAGAAACATAGCTTTGGGCAGGCTTGGTCTTGTACTCTTGCCCATCTCAAAGTGGTATCCAAGAGATCATTCTCTTCTAAATGGGCACCACAAAAGGAAAAAAAAAAAAAAATAAAAAACCAAACAATGCACTACACTCAGAAACCAGCTCCTTGAGGGAAAAAAAGGAACACAGCCCCCAGAAGAATTCAGAAACAAAAGGTGTTTTGTAGCAGACAGCTATTTGTAAGCTTGGCCATGAAATAAAGCCTCTTTTTTATAGTAGGAAAAAGAGATTAAGCTTGTTTTCACTCCAACAACTTCCGCTCCTCTCACTGTGCCAGATGCTGCCTGGTTGGATCCAACCAGTTATCACCTCTCGCTACACCGTTCCTCCTCATTGCTGCAACCCTCTACTATCATGCACTCCTGATAACCACCAGCATATCTGTTAACATAACCACAACATAAGCATGAGCTCCAAAGACTGTTTCAAGAGGGCACAGGGACAGCCACTCAGCTCTCTGCCTTCCCCCTTGCTGCACAGAAGACTGTCCTTTCTGCTCCCCTAGTCTACCCAGCACAGCAGATGTCATGTCCTGCTCACTCCAGCTGTACTATGGGCTGGTTCCAAAAGGTTACTGAAATCATTGAAAGTTCTTCCTTTGATTAATTCAGTAAATCTGGGAATTGGACCCCAGAATCATTTGAATTTCAGAAGCACATCAGCCCCCATACTCAGCCAGAAAGACCTCCAGCTATCTACTTCTTGCAACATAAGAGAGCATAAGAAAAAGCAGCAGAGACTGTTCCTTTGAACTAGCAAAGGCAAACACATCTCCACCCAAACAGCAGTACCTGAGGGACTTATTCTGCAGATTAAACTAACACAGGTATCCAGCTTCCTAGCAGCACCAGAAAGTCAAAGACCAAAGCAAACTCCTCCTGTGTATCTGCTCCCTCCCAGCTCAGAGTCAGGCATGTGCCCAGAAGCAGGGCTCCAGCTGTGATCATACAGTACCATCCAACTTACCTCAAGTACAGCTGGCAGAAATAACCCCAAATTCTTGCCAGAACAGCACCAGGGGTTTGTTACACAGCATAAGGTCATACCTCACCTACCTGGTTAATGAGTTCTCCAGGCATGCTATTGCTCTGCAGCGTCATCTATCAACACCTTCTTGTACTGACCATGGCCTGTGGCAACAAATTTATACTTCTTGCCAGAAGGATTGGACTGAACAGGAGAGAAAGAAAGAGCCAAAGTCAGCATTCTTCTCCCTCAAATAGGCAGTCAAGATCAAATAACTGAAGCCAGAGGAGCATGTGATACAGTTGTCTATAATTTCAGAGGGTTTGGAGAGGGCCTACTCCACTCCCTTCTCGCCCTTTCCATGTAAAATCTTTGTACAGCCCAACCACCACTTTCTGTAAGTGGAAGGTAACACAGCAAGCACGGGATGTGTAATGGGAAAGGGAAGATGCAATGCCAGGCATCGCTAGGGAGGGCTCATCCAAGAGCCTAGACCCCCCAAACCAGGGTTGGTTTCACCCACGGCAAGAACCAGTTTCGTTTACCACATACTGCAGCAGTACTGACCCAGGAACAGACGAGCTACTTTGATCTTCCTCTCCAAGCCTGGATAGTTTGAGCAGCAACTGTTTGCTGCATTTTAATAAGCATTCCCATAAGCATACCAGTAGGCACAAAGCCACAGATCCATCTGCAAGCATTGATACTGTCTTAGGTTCAGTTCCACTTGATTTTACATGTTTTCTTTAATCTCGAGATTAAAAAGTATAACAAGAGCAAAGTAGCTCACATTTGCAGTTCAGTTTGAGGCTAGAAGGCTGGGCCTTCAGCCTTCTGACCCCACGGGGCGAGAAGAACATGCTATTCAAGAGACCCTTCAGTATTACTAGTTATAAAACAATTTTTGACCCTATTTTAACTAGGGCTGAAGTGCTAGCAGCTCACTGTTAGGAAGAGCTCTTAGGTATGTGATTGCATAGATACAGGCAGCCCTTATCCCTACAGAACAATATCTTCTCAATACTTCCAACCCAGCCAAGAGGTCTTCTCTTTTTCACAGCAAAGCAAGTGTTTTCATACTCACACAGATACCAACTCACCTTGACATTGGTCTCAGGTTTGGGACTGCCCTTCTGTTCCCAAAGGCTTCTTTTACTCACAATATCTCCAGCCACGATATCCTGAGAAGATGATGTTCTCGTTACCCTTCACTGCTAACACTACTGAACACACGTTTGTTCACGTCCCTTGCAAACCCACACATCTGACCTCCTTCATTATTTACAAAACCTCATCATCTGATCTATGACAGCTGCAGCAAAAAAAACCGACTGAAAACTTCTTCCTATTCCCAGTATATCTTATGTTTTCCTCTCTCATTCTTTTCAACAAAAGCCTGGATCAGAGATCCAAGATGTTTATTTCCTTAAGTTCATTAGCTATGTAAGACATGTTAACATCAAAGTTTTTTTGTGTGGGAGGAATTTTGCTCACATAAACACAGATTTACAACCCATGTGTTACAGAATCGGCCCCACTCACAATGACCAGAAAGTGAAATTGAGAGTAAATACATGATACTCTTTGCATTTTACAATTTTACAAGACTTATCATCTTGCTGCTAGATCCAACTCTGTGCTCAACAACTGGAGTTCAGCCCTAGCTCCTGCAGAAGATACACACATTTTCCACACCAGCCGAATTTATTCCCTTTTCAAAGCAGAGCCTCAGCCAGCAGCACAGGGGCTTCCCTAACTGTACCTTCCAAGGAACAGATCAGGGCCCCAGCACAGATGAAGTGAAGCTCTGAGGTGCAAAGCCTTGCATCCTGATGGAGGTGATCAGATTTCCGGTACAGATGACTTCAGAACTGGTGGGGAGGGACCACCAATGAGCTGTACCAACAGGCTAACACACATGCAACAGAAGATGTGCCCAGAGGCCAGGCCCTCTTCCCCTGCACAAGCAAGGCAAATCCCGCACATGCCATACCTTACAGGGCGAGGACTTCACGGCAGACTGAGCTGCAACCTCTCCAGTCTCCCAGAGGCTTTTTGTACTGGCTACCACCATGCTTGTGGTGGGAAGATCAAGAGATGGCTGTCGGACAGGTTTTGGAGTCTTTGTGGATGTCTGGAAAATAAATGGAGAAAGATCACTGTCAAGGAGCGTGTGCTTTTTTTCCTTTTCCCTATAACTGGAAGTCCTCAGGGATGGGGGATTGTAGGAGACTTGTAGGGTCTTGCTAGTTCCTAGCAAGGTGAGATTCTCTCACCCTTTAAGCAGGGAACATGAGGAAACAAGGATGGCAAAGGTCCCTGAAGAAACCTACTTTTATAGTCTGGAGGGAGATAGAGACAGGAGAAAGGGATGCTCCCATCCACAAGGGGATAAAGTTGTCACCTCCCAGATGGTAAAATTAAGGCATGGTGGGAGAGCAGTGCCCAGCAAAGAGGGGTCCTTGGAGGGTGGGGACAGAGAGACAATACAGCAGCTCACCTCAATAGCCTGTGTGTACTGCTCCAGCCTGTCATCAATCTTCGACACAGGCAGGGGAGGCTGGGTCTTCTTTATGCTGTTACTGGAGAGCAAAGGAGAGAAGAGCATTGAGGGGATCTCCTGGTGTCTTGGGCAGCAGGGAGGACTTGGAGGGCCACAGGCAGCCTGTCACTCCTGCCCTTCCCCACAGCAGTGCCCTCCAGCATCCTGCATTTGGAGGAAAGGCTTTACCCCAAGGTCAACCCTAGCAATACCTTTATTGTCAGCGACTCGGTTCTGTCCGTGATCTAAAGTGGGAGAAAGAAGACAAAGATATTACTTTTTTCCATGGACCTCAAATGGATGTTGGACACCTCAGCTGACAATGGTTCAACCACTTCTAACCAAAATCTGGGTGAGGGAGTAGGGAAGAGAAGTGCCTCACTCAGTCTCATGTTCCCACACTGGTCACAGAGACAGCAAGCATCCCCCTCGCAATGCAGGTGAGCAGAATCCCAAGCAAAAGTACCTGTGCACAGCAGCAGCCCAACTAGTTTCAGGGGCAACACAACAATGTGCAGCTTGACTGACAGCTGAAGCAGCAATCAAGACCATTTTCCCTGCTCAAGGACCAGCTATCTTTCTCAGACACAAGAGAGAAAGTGGTAAGTGTGGAAAGACAAGGGGAAAAACTAGAGGTGCTGCCAGCCACGACTGCAGATGAGGAGCCAAGCATGAGAGCAGCACAGGCATGAGTTACATCAGCTTATCCACACCACAGGGCACACAGACAGGGCAATTCAGCAGGTGGAGCCACCCGTAAGGCAGCTCTTCAGGTCAAGCCTTCAGGAAAGAGTTTTGCACAAGAGGCTCCTGTGCAACAACTCTTCAGCCAGGACAGGAAGGCAAGCAAACACTTCACAGCCACTGAACAGAGGAAAGCTGAAGTGTTGCTAAACCTCACAGCTCTTTCACCGCCCAGGAAAGAAGAACACAGAAAAATCACTCTCAAGTCAAAGGAGAGGCTATTTCTTAACAGCAGCTCCTACAGAGCAGAGGAGCAGCAACCAAGCAACAAAGGTCTTCTCTCCCCATATACTGCTCTCTGTGCCACAGGAAACATCACCTGCTGAGTTAGCAGATAAATGCAGTGCTAAGTGCTCATTTCAGGATCTTTTTAGGTTGCCAGTACTAGATGTTAACAAAGCAGAGGACAAGACAGTGTCACAAAGAGGACACATTTAACAGCTGTGCCCAAGAGCACAACTACCAAGGAACAGTACAGCCCTGACTAACAGAACTGTCCCAAGGAGAGTCACCCTGCAGGGTTCCAACACAGCAATGTGACATATATCCCACCAGCCAGAAGGTTCTGCTGGGCAGGCTGTCTACCTGCTGCCAGCTCACCCCTTCCCATGGTGCTGGAGGAGTTGGTGCTTGCCTCAGCAGTGACTTCAGAGACTGGGTTGCCCATCCCTCTGGGACACTGATTGGCAAAGCTGGCACCTCATGGGGCATAACAGCACCTGAAAGGGGAATCCAATCGATCCCTGCCCACGTCTCTGCTCCAACTACAAGTAGATATCAATAGGAAAAACACCCTTGCCAACACTGCAGGTGCAAACCACCCTTCTGAAATGTTAAAAACAAGCATCAGGTTAAACGCAGAGGGGCCTAGAAACAGTCTGTAAGTGACAGTAGCTCTTAACATGATAATCTAGGTGGGAACAAACTTCCCTTAAGCTATTTGGAGACCACTTCCTTCAGCCCCATAGGACAAGTCTTTGCATCGAGTCATGCATTCCTCTGTTCAAAGCACTTCCTGAATGCCAGAAGAAACCAGTCACTTAGCCAGCCTCGGCTCTCTGAACCCCAAACAGCCCCATCACACTGCAACCCAGCACACTGCCTGCCCCAGATGTGCACCTGGGCCTCCACCAGCCACAGCTGGCAGGGGAGCTCACTGCAGATGCTCTTGTCTGTCCACTACAAGCAGTGTTTCTACCAAGCAAAGTTTAATTCTTGCTGTTCACACAAAGCCCTACTAGCAGGGGTGTTAAGATCCACCTTCCTTTGGAAATGTCCCAAGCTCATAGTTCTCCTGAACAGCTTTACATTCAGTTTTGTGTATTGGGGAGCTCTGACATCACCATTATAAAACACAGAGATTGTATTTCTAAACCTTTCCCTGGGCCAGCAGCAGCAGTTAAGTTCAGGTCAGGAAGCTTTGTGTGTTTTGGGGTTGTAATGATGCAAGCTTCATCACATAAACGGCACTGGAACACTCCCACATTTCCCGACTAGTGCCACTTCTAGGGATATGTTTTAGCCATCCCCACCCCACTTTTCAAACCTAACATTATCACATGGCCTGCACCCAAACACACGCTTTCTCCCCTCTTTTTATTTGACTTTTAAACGATTTCTCCACACATAAACGGCACTGGAACACTCCCACATTCCCTGCCTAGTGCCACTTCTAGGGATATGTTTTAGCCATCCCCACCCCACTTTTCAAACCTAACATTATCACATGGCCTGCACCCAAACACACGCTTTCTCCCCTCTTTTTGACTTTTAAACAATTTCTCCATTAAGATCAAGAATCTGATGGCTGTAGATGACGAAACTTTCCTCTTACAATCTATTTACTGGTACAAGAGGAAGTGCTCAAACAATCCTCCTCATCCAGAAACATTGCCTAAGAAGCAAATAGCAGAGATCTAAATGCAAAAAAAGCAAAGATAATACCAACAGCAGATTAACAGGCTACCCAGTCTCCTCACCCTTTCTCTCACTGCTACAATCAACAAACTTAGGGCTTACACAGACAAAAAGCCATTCACTACAAAAACCACTTACCTGTATCTATTGTATTTAAAAGCACACACACAGAACTGAGGATTTGTAGTAAATGCAGCAAAAGTCATAAGACGCAATTCAGGTGGTGTTAAAAATGTGAGTTTTGCAAGAGCATCCATGCAGACAGATGTGATTGGGGAAAGACAAGATGTTTCAGAGATCGGGAATCTCAGTTTGTTTAAAAACTTAAGTCATACTTTCTGATTTTATTGTAAGAAAGATAGGGAAATTCCAGTGCTTCAAGTTTGGGGGAGGGGATTTTTGATGGGGAAGGGAAATTTCATTTTCTGACTAAGTTTGTGTCATCTTTGATTGAATTCACACGTATACAATTCAAAGTACAGACATCTTTCTGCATATTACACTATTCCCTGGAGTCCTCAATGAACTTTAGACTTTTACAGTGATTGGCAAAGTATACACGAGAGACAGTTACAGCCTCCAACAGCTGAATCAGGCAAAGTAGGAGGAAAGGAGGTTGACAACCAAGGAAGATGAGGGAAACAGATGAAGTGATTTGTCCCAGCCTACAGCAGAAGCAGGATAACAGAACTACATTACTGCAAGCCCTGGGTCATCTTTCCTTGTCATTAGTTAGGTGTTCTATTGTGGTGATTGCCATCACCTCCAGAGGGGCCTGAGGAACACAAACCTTCATGGAGCACACTGCACTGTTGTCAGAGCACAGCTCCTCCTCTTCCAGGCTAGCAGGACTGGGGGCCTTCTGGCGTTTTTCTGGTGTTTCTTCTTCATCTTCGTTTCTCCTTCTCTTCTTTTCCTGAGTGCAGAAAATGAACAAGCCAGGAAGTGAGCTGATCGAACTGCTTACTACGCAATAAAAGTGATTTTTCCCCATCTCCCAGGCTTCCTGCTTTACACCAAACAAACACATGAGCATAGAAAGTTTGAGTTCACATCATCTAATTTTGAAACATACAGGGGAAAAGCTCATGTGTCATTGGAGGGTGGGAGGGAAATCAGAGATATTTTGCAGATTCAAGGTTCCAAAAAGATATGGAAGGGGGTCCTTGCATCAGTTAATAAAGATTTATTACCATACAGAGAGGGAGCAGCTGCCTTTAGAATAAGTGACTAGAAACAATCACACACACAGTTCAAATGCAAAAGGCATACTAGCCTCAGCAAGTCAAAACCCATTTACAACAAAAGACATTTGAAGCTCAACCACCCTAACACGCTTGTACCGCTCAAGTTCCAGCTTTGTCTCTCTTGTTAACTGGGAATTACACCTCATTAGAAGAGCAAAGAAAGAAAACCTCAGCTGGGAGCAATGCAAGATTTAGAGATACATCAAGCCAAAGTGCTCCAAAGGTGTAATAAAGGCTGGGGAGAGGAAAAACAAGCAGTAAAATTTGATTCTCCTGAAGAACCACTCACTGCCCACAAAACCACAGGAAAAATAATACTACTTTCCTTCTCAGTGTTTCAGGGACATGACTAAACCATCACAAACTCCATGAGCAAACACAGTACCCTCACAAGAGGGCAGGGCCCACCTGCAGGGACTCCCAGAAGGCACATTAGCAAGAGTGGCACCAACCCCAGGTTACTCTGGGAAACCATGTCTGTGTGGGCTCAACACCCAGCAGCGTAAACAGTAATGATGAGCTGAGTTCTTGGAGAGCAGCCCCCAGCTCCATCTCTCCCACCAGCTCCGTGGAAAGAAGGTCAACTCCTCCTGACCCCACCTCTTGCCCAGCGTTCTCCTCTTCCTCCTGCTCTTGGACCTGTTCTTCCCCCTGGTACAGTCTCTCTTCCTCCCTGATAACCACATTCTCCTCCTGAATCTCCTCCGGGCTTTCCCGATCCAGCTGGATCTGCTCCAGTTTGACTTCAGCTTCCCTCACACCACTGTCCTCTTCTTCATATGACTGTCGTGGAGACCTAGAGGTAGAAAAAGAGAGGTCAAAGAAGCAAAACGTTGTTACGAGCCTACAGACCTCTAGAAATTAAATTTTATCATTCCCCCAAGCTTACAGCTTGCTGGGTGTTTCACACCAGGGCTCACAGCCACTTCATAGTCCCATCCAGATCCAGGTGCCCAGATTTAACAGCAGCCACATCACACTCCCACACTTTTAATGTCCAAGACACAACTCGAGCTGTGGCAGAGCTGAAGGTATCTGCAGCCTTCCAGCCTCACTGCAAGCAAGACCCTCAGGAAAACAAGAGATCAGACTTTCACTCAGACCCCAGGTAGAGAGGACACTGCCACCAAGATGTGGTGCTGGCTCAATTCTCTGCTCAGCTACAGCCAAAATCCCAGGTGAACCAGCCCGCTCTGTGTTCCTGCTGCACAGAGCTCTGACACTGCCCCCACAGCTCCCAGCATCAGTTCAACGTGGAGCAGCAAACACAGCCTTCCCCTGCCTGAACTCATCTTCCATGTCAACAGAGCCTCGTGCTGGAGGAGGATCCAACCAACATGTGAACAGGCTTCCCGATATTCCTCTTCTCCCTGACTCCAGCTAAACTGCAGGGCAGGACTGCACAGCCACTCACATGGGTGGTGGGTTTCTTGGTTTACAAGGCAAGTGCTGTGCAAGCAACGCTGTACCTACACCCGACCCCAAACCTCAGCTTTGCCCACTGGGATAAATTACTCCTATACTCACGTCACAGCCCAGAAAACCAAAGGAGTCCCAAAGAAGCCAGGGTCACCCCTTGTCTTAGGGTTAAAAAAAACAGTGGGGTTTGTACAAGAGGATTCCTCCAGGTATCTGAGGCTACAGAGAGGAGACCCAGGAGTATGTTTAAACAATCACCGTTGCAAAGCAGAGCAGCCCACGCCTTTGGGCACAGAGTCAGTGGGAGCACGTAACCCCAAGGTTCTCACTGGCTCACATGCACCAAGACGTTATTACCATCTTACTTTCCCCAGCTAAATAACAGCTTTCTCCTCCCACACTTTTCTTAGAAAATCACCCAGCTTGTGACAGCAAGGTTGGAGAGCAGGCTAGCAGGCAGCTGCCAGAGTGCAAGGCTGATTCACTGCTTCTACCTCACCAGCCAGCACCAAAATATGAAAAAAGGTCAAGCAAGACTTCTCCACCCACATTTCTGTTGCTGGGATGGCAGCTCACAAGACAGCCACTGTCCAGCCCTCCTCACTGACCACACAGGGGAAAAAGATGATGCATATGCTGGCTCGCTTGGCTTGCAACTAATCATCCTCCCATGCCAGCAGTCACCCACGGCAAACAGGCCCTGAAGGACCAGGTGACTAGTTTCACTTAGCCAGGATGCCAGCAATGCCACCAGCTAAAGAGCAAGCTCATATTAAAAATTAAGCCAGCAAATATGATGCAGGCTATAGGATGCCTTTTGCACCACAGCAGGTTTAGATCGGAGGCAGCTAGTCTGACGCAGCTCCCACGCTCTTGCATGCGGCTGATAGCATCGATACCCACCGCAAAGTGGGGATCCAGAACCATAAAGGGAATATGCCTAGTCCCAAGGCCTTCAAGGAATGCACAAGCTGCTTCAGCTCCATCCAACAGACAGCAACTGTCTCCATCGCATTCATAGCCACCACCACCAAAAGGTCCTTTGCACAAAAAACCAGGGCTTGCTCCATATTCACTTAAGCAGGAGAGGGGGAAGTTGGGAAGCCCCAGCCACACACACAGCCTACCTGCGCTCACACCACACTCTAAGCCTGTCCCTCAGGAGAGCGAGGGCAAGACTGCTGAAGAAACAGGCTGCCACTGCCTAGGAAACAAGCCCAGCTTTTGCAAAAAGCCCACTCCCAGCAAGCCCACGGTGTCTGAGTCCCTTCAGCTGCCTCTCCCAAGCAGCCTCCCGCCAAAAACCTGCTCAGCTACAGCTGCTGCCTTTAAAGCACTGCTCCTCTCTGATGGGCTTCATTGCCCACAGATGCCAGGTCCCCTGCTCCGCACCCTCCTGCCCCACTACAGAATTAACACAAGCATCGCATAAAAACCCCAAGAGCAATTTCTGCAGTGAATAACGCATCTCTTCCAGCTAATTCTCTTTTTGAAGGTCAGGGAGGGAATAGCAGCAGCCTTTCTCTTCAAACAAGCTCTTTGCAAGGGGAGTGGAAAAGAGGCAGCATGCCAAAAAACGGATGGGGCTGATTTCTAATTGCTCCCACAGATGTGATGATCAAGGCTGTGGCAAGGTGCTTGAGCAATGCTTGTGGGGTCAGGGCCGCAAAGGTACAGCTTGCAGAGTGGTTTAGCTACAGTGTTTGGAAAAAAAGTAAGAAAGAGGCGAGCTCTATTTATTTCTTCAGCAGTAAATATTAATCTTAGGCATTTTTTCAGTCTCAGGGGTAAAGAAGAGGCTGTGTCAGCACAGGGGCAAAATTCCCTATAAAAGCAAGCTGCTGAGAGCTCAGTCACAGAGTTCACATTCAGGTAGGTGGTGTCCAAGGGAAGTGGTTAAGGCAGGAGTTTGGTTCAGCTCAGCAAGGAGAGAGTGATGGAAGATGAGAGCTAAACAGCTGGCACACAAGCACCACTCAGGGCTCTTCGCTGCCTCTTTGCCTCTGCTGAAAGACAAGTCAAGCACAAGGTGGGCTGGGGCCATGACACCCACTATGCTGACATGAGCCAGGAAGCAGCAATAACTTAGAACAGCTTTTTAGACTGGTCTGGATTATGTTAGAGGCCATTTCAGCCCCTGCAGCAGCTCAGGTGGCTTAAATCTGCTGTTGTCACTCTTCCAAACCCAGGCGTCCTGGCAGGCTGCCATTGCTTGGAGTGCAAAGCTCAATCCAAACATCCCTGAAGCCTGGGGCAGTCCCTGAGCCTGTTCCTCGCTGCTAGCCCAAATGGCAGGCGGAGAGCATCTGTCCCAGCAGTCCAGGCCTGTCCTGCCCCACTGATGATCCAGCCTCTGGCCTTGTTCTTATGCATGCTAGACTTGACCTGGGCTTGGTCACCTGCCCCGGGGATGATCCTCTCACTGGGCACGTTGGTTCCCCTCCCCTCAGTCTGGCTGTGTCCTACCCACCTCTGTTTGCGCTGCTCGAGCTTCTGGGACCAGTCACTGAACCCCTCATCTTCCTCCAGCTCCGAAGTTCCGGATGGCTTAAAGTCATAGCTGAAACAGAGCAAGAAGGAAAATTAGGATGAAAGAGATGCAAAAATCCCCGAATCTCAGCTGAAAGAGCCCCAGACCCCTTCCCTCCCTCCAGTTATTGCATCTCCTTTCCTCTGGCTGTTTCCTAAAATCCACTTGATCTTTATCCTCCGTTACAGGAAAGATGCCTTTGCCACATGCTTAGGAGTGCCCTTGTACAAAGGGGTTCTCTCGGGGCATCACTGCAAGGTGGAAGGGAAGAAGGAGCAGCTCCGTGTTTGCAGCAGAATCACTCTGCTGCCTGCCTGGTCTCTGGAGCCACAGGCAGGAAGGCAAATGACAAGCAGCACATCAAAACCAAAAAGTCCATGGTTTTCTTCTGCACTGGAGCTGGCCCTAGCTTGTTTGGACCAGAGATGTGTCACACTCAGTTGCTGCTTGTCCTATGCTTGTACGCAGCCCCCTAGAAAAGACATCAGCAGGAGCTGGCCTGAACAGATCACTGGATTAGGAAGGCATGAAGACCCAAAGATTAGGAACCCAAGTTCTGGGTTG